CCTTGAGATGGGAGGTACTGCTGGCTCTGTGGTGCCTGTCCTCTGAACCCAGGATGTTGAGAAACAGTTGGAGTAACTGCACCCAGCTGAGGTCCAACTGTTCTCATCTGCGGTGAGGGTACAGGTGCAGGTGCAGCACCAACTGAATTTGACTGTGGTGCAGGTATAGCTGCAAGATTTATTTGTGGAGCTGGGATTTTAGCTGAAGCCGGGCCATACAATGCTGCCTTGACAATTTCTGGTGTTAACTCTCGCTTGCTCTGTGCTACTGTCACTAGTTTCAGAGCATTATAAAACTCCCCACGGCTAAGGAAGCCACAATGACTCTGATCAGCATGCATCCACACCTACAACCAAGAACAAGACATTTTTTTTTTCAAAATTTAGAAATGCTGATTAAAATCTATACAGAAAAATTGTACATACAGCTGGTCTATTTGAATTCTCACTGCTATTTAGCCTCTACAAAATCCTAAGAAAGGGATAGCCAAAACCTATACACCCTGAATAAACCAGCTCACAACATCCTTGAGCTCCTATGTCTTGAATGCTCACATAGTTTTGAAATTATATATTCACAGTAACAAATAAAAATACAAACAAGTGTGGAAAGACCATCATAAGTTCCTGACACCACATCATCAAAAAAGACCACCATAGGTTTCAGTTGGAGATGTAAAGCTCTAGATCTCGTGCATTTCAAGTTCTTACACCAATTCATGGACCAACTGCAACACTTTTAGTATTTAGATAAGCAACCTACTGCTTCATAGTTATACTATACAAGTCATTTTCCTTCCGAGTCACTAGTGCCATCCAAGATAAATAAAGAACTTGATCGTCTTCGTTCTCAGGATTCAAGCAGAACATACTGGAACTCTGACTCATAAATGGCTAAATTCTTCGAACTTGGCAACATAGGTAGAGATCAATAACAAAGTGCACCTAAGACTTGATATCAAGGCTCAACCCTCCAACGTTATACAAATAAGAAAAATCACTAAAATGAGCATAGTATTGAAGAGAAGTAAAATTGGGATTACCTGAGCTAGAACCTGTTTCGGTAGATTAGATCCTTGGAGAAAAGTAACAGCTTCAACTCCACTGATCCTACCATCCCGATCCAAATCTGCTCTCTGAAAGTAGACTTCAAATTGCTCCATATTTGAACCCTGCCCCGCCATTCCACTTCGATTCAACCCCCTCAATTGCTCTCAGATCAATGCACCAAATCCGTAATTCTCATCGCACCTATCACAGATTCCAGCAACAAGTTAAAATAACTTCGAACATCCCCCAAGTTTTTCAGATTTGAATTTCCCTTCGTGGAAAAAGTGTGACAGATTTGAATTCTGTAAGCTGACAGAAAAAATAAAAATAAAAATTCTTTAAAATAGAAAAGATTATATATTTTTAAAATGAGATTTTGGGAAAAACGAAGCGGTTGGATTGCAAATTCGAAACTGAATTAGGTTTTCCCCAATCGAGAAGGAGAATAGAACTATGGAAGACTATTATGTATGCACTCACTCAGACAGAAACCGGAGGATACAAATCTGAAAGATTTGTTTTCTTATGTGCCCGTTTAGTTTTGGAAGTTTAGGTATTGACCCCTTTGTTATTATTTAATTGCAATTAGCTAACCATTGTTGCCACATCAATGGTTTTTGTTACCAACTTTGGTCATGGGTCATGATTGTATTATTCTTTTTTTTCATTGTAGTATCTGTTCATACATACTGTTTTCACTGAGACTTGATCTCATGACCTCTCATATGGGAGAGTCACTATATGTCATCTGAGCACAAGGTGCTTGGCGATTGTATTATTCTTTAATTGAAGATGATGTATTAAGTGAGAATAGTGTTTTTATTGTTTCTAAGGAAAAATATTATAACTACTTTTAAATTTTATTTCACTAAATTTTGTCATGAGGAATACATATTTTTTAAAAAATAATTTTTAAAAAATGTTACATTGCTTATGTCGTTACTTAGTCTGAACTCTCCACCACCAACCTGTCAACTGCCAACCTCATTGCTTACACATTTTCAATCACTTTCTCCTTATTGTTTTTTCCTCTCTCGTTTCTTCTTAGTCTCCCTCAATTTTATCTTCTCCTTTGACATCACAAACAACTACTCTGTTTTTTTTTAATTGAAAAGTTCATAATGCACCATCTATAGCCGAGCTTCTCTGATTTTGCATAGTGAAGTGCTTAAATGGTCACTTTATGAAGATTTATGTTTGAAAGAAAAAAAAGTTCTGATGGGTCTATAATGCCTTCACTAGAGACATTGGTGATAGTTTTTGGGTTACAAAGAAGTAGATTGAATGAGTGACAACTTTTAGATTGACAGAGAGATTTAATGAATGATAAGAAACTAGATGGGAAATGAAGGATGAGAAAAAGAATAGAGAGAACAGGAGAAGGGACAATATTTTAGGTGTTTTTTTTTTTTTTTAAATAACGAAGAGTTTATAGAATTGCAATGTGATAGAGTTTAGATCTAAATTAAAGAATATAAATTTAGAGTCATTCTAATAAGACACATTTCTAAATGTGATTTGTTGTGATATGTCAAATTTGAATCTTTGAAAGATGTTGTTAAATGGCATATGGTTGATGTTGTATGAAGATATGTTGCAAGCCACTTAGGTTTGGATCTAGCGACATACCTTACGCGTCATTTATTATATAAAACAAGTTGTAGAAGTTTTTCCTCATTCATTTATTTCAAGTTATGCGATGTGATTCAAAAATTGATCGAACCCCACTCAAAAATTCAATTAATAAAATCAAGCATGAGAAGATTCAATAAATTATTCAAGCATGGATGCCAATTTCAATCCCTCAATTATGATTGTATATATCTAATCTAATCTAAAAATATAATAAGTCTCAATCAAAGTTATATCTCTAATTTATGTATATATTTTTAGTGGTAATCATTTTGTACATTGTGCTTTTAGAGTTGTACTAATTTTTTTTTTTTTTATAAAAATACCCTTACCGTTATAACTTCCGTTATCTTTTCCATTATTGTTACTATACAGATACATCCACCATATATTTTCTTATATTCTTTAATGATAATAATATTTGTAGACATTATATATTGGATTAATATAATAAATAAATTTGATTTTATATAGATTTTAATTTTAATTAGTAAGAATTTGTTAGTTATTTTTTAAAAAATAAAAATATTGGGCATATGTTTTTTGCGCATCACACATAGAAAAGACTAGTATATGACTAGATCAAGTGCGAAGATAACTTCCCGTGCGGAAGTGTGGATAACACAAAAGGATGCACCTTAAGTGTAGAATTGACGCATCTAACCTTAAGAATTAAAATGGTGCACCTTAAGTACAAAAACCACGCACCTTAAGTTTCAACAACTGACGCACCCTAAACATACAAATCACGCCCCTTAAGAATGAAAATCACGCACCTTAAGAAGTAAAATCACGCACCTAAAGCTTTAGACAGACGCACCTTAAGTTTCAACAACTGATACACATTAAGCACACAAACCACGTACCTTAAGAAGTAAAACAACGCATCTAAAACTTTAGATCAACGTATCTTAAGTTCTCAACTGAAAAACTCACGTACATTAAGAAAGAAAATCACGCACCTTAAGTTTGACCAATATGCAAAAAGATCAAAATGCTACCGCGTTATTTTTTTTAATCTGTGTTCAATCTGGACAGTTGATTTTAGCGAGATCAATGACGCAAATTTAACCCCACAACCGCACGGGAACCGATTTATATATGTGTGTGCGTGTGTGTGTTAGAGATATGAAGGTCAAGTTTATTTTTTATATATAGGATCATATATTTCATTTGTAATACACAACATGATGTACATATTAAAATTATCAATAAAAGATCATTTCCCTTCTCTTCATATTCTCTCTATTGTGATATTACTTCACAACAATATCATGTTAGCATTAGTTTTTATTAAAGATAATATGCTCATTTTATATCGTGATTTGTAATTATGATACATCATTCCATATGTGATGATTTGTTATAATTGGTGTCGCATATGTCTATTGTTATTATCCACGATTTTTCGAAATTTTTTGTGTTTGAGTATTCAAAAAAAAAAAAAAAAAGTCAAAGAAAAATATTCATTTTAATCAATTAAAAAAAAAAATCAATTTGATAGAAAATGTCTTCCTAAATTTATAGTCATTACCACTGCCATAACTACAACCACCACTAGCATCATTACCACCGCAACCACAATGAGAAGGTCCAATTATAAATTTTCAAAATACATGGGGGCTACTTATCCGCATTACTGAGTAGTATTTAAGGGAAGCGTGGCACCGAAAATACAGCACCGCACACCCACGGGGTCTCTTGCTGCACAACAATTTTGCAGATTTATCTAAAGCCTTCCACTCCATAGCCTCTACGGTTTAAAGCTTTACCACTCTCTCATCTTCGATGTTAGCTCCGGCGAGCATGGAGACAGACAAACCGCATGCGTACAATGACGAAGATCTGGAGAAGAAGCAGAGCTCCTTCTTAGTGGTAGCTCTCTGCCCTTGTTTCTTTTGCTTCCTACTTGTAGTGGTAGTTGTCTCCATCGTTCTCGTTGTCAAGTTCCGTTTGTTCTGCCACACTCCGCTTCATTCTCTTATCTTCAAAAAAAGTTGCCACTCATGATCCTTCAAAACTTCTACTCACCGGAAATCTGTGGGAATTTTGTAGATCTGAGTCGGAAATTTGTGAAAATGATGTGAGCGGATCGGGAAGAACTAAATAAGTGTTTGATGAATTGTATTTTACTTTACCTATCTGGTGTAAGGTTGTCCTGTATGGTTTGGTAGTTGTAAATTTGTGTAGAAAACGGGAGTATTGTATTCAATTTATTGGCTCAATCAGCTTAAACTAAACATCACTCACTGCACTGTATATTAATTAGCTAAAATAGCACAAACTAAGCCTTAGTCCTGACCCATATTAAAGAAAAATGGTAGTAGAATAGAGGCTTGCCTTAATTAAAATGGAGCTTAAATTAGGTCTTGCATACAAATATTGTAATGAAGCGTGCATGTTTCATCTTCTTCCTAATTGTAGTAAGCAGCAGCAAAGCTAATAAAACCTAGGAACATTACAATATATATGTGGTCGGTCTACAGGTAAACAATAATGATGGATATATGATATCAGGCATCAATGAATCGAATGTCGAAAGTATTGGGATGAATCTGCCACACATTTAAAGCTGCATATTCCTCCAGGCATTCCTTCAGCTGAGCTTCACTGTATCCCTGGGGTTCATAACAACACATCCATCACTCACACTAATCAATTAACTGCAACAACATTTATTAGAGTTTTTTTTTTTTTAGGGGGGGGGGGGGGGGGGGGGGGGAGTTTTTGTGCTTTGTTAGATGAAAGAGGGACTGGTTTGGTAGAAGAGTGGCAAACCAAGTTTGTGTACAAAAACTTAACTCACCTTTCTAGAAATCCAGTTGAGTGCCTGTGTATAGCTAACATCCATCCTGTTAATCCTAGCAGCTTCATCACGCAAGATTGAATATATGTCAGATATCGCGTCCAACCCAGATCTTTGACGATCATCTGAATACAATGAAAACTTTGACATTTGCATTAAGCGAAGTGCCTCATCTACATCACTTTGAGCAACAGTCTCTGAGAACCTGAGTCTGGCGAGTCCCTGTAGAATATGAGAGTGAGGAGACATGCCATGAGAATACTAATTCTGTACTCAAAACAAGATTACAAGAATATTCTCCTCTTACTCTGTGCTATGTATGGTTTTAACCCCTTGTGAGTGCCAAGCAAAATGTGATAACTAGATTGTTATTTGCTTGGAGAGGAAATAGGAACTTACTGCTGAAATCCTAAGAATACTGAGCAGTGTTCTGACAGTTGTATAAGAGTGAGGGGTGTTTGATTTTGCTTCCTCTTGCCTAATGCTGGAATATGCACTGGCAATATACTCCTCCAGTTCTCTTGGAACACAAGGAGACAATTTCCTTGCAGTTGAAATATAGGCCCTAAAAACAAGTAGAATACTGTTAATTCATGAAGAGCAACAACAAATGCTATTATGTGTCGACATCATACTCTGTACTATTTTTATCCTATCTATAAAATACAACATCTATTAAGGGGTTTTAATTGTGAAAACTTATAAGTAAAAACTCCAGAACTACATGAGTAGTGACATTTACCGAAGCACAGATGGATCCAGTGGAGTGAACCCAAGAGCAGGAGATTCCTTTTTTTGATGAACATAGACAACATGCCTAGCCAACTCAAGATCAGTATCCATGTCAGCCCGGTCCAAGATCAACCACAGGAGGTCAAATCTTGATAGCAGGGCAGGAGGGAGATTAATGTTTTCAGCTGGTGTCCTTCGTAAGTCATATCTTCCCCTGAAATTGTCAAAATTTCAAGCTATAATAATAAGTGTATACATGAGCATGGTTTTTCTGAAGCAAGTTGGCTTATTTTTTTCTTTCACATGTACCCAATGCTAAAAACTAGGAGAAACCATCAATGAGCTTCAAAGTACAGAGTTCAAAGAGTATGAATGTTTACCAGGCAGGATTAGCGGCAGCAAGGACGGCAGTCCTTGCATTCAAAGATGTGGTGATCCCAGCTTTGGCAATGCTAACAGTCTGTTGCTCCATTACTTCATGTATTGCTGTTCTGTCTGACTCATCCATCTTGTCAAACTCATCAATAGCACATATACCCATGTCCGCCAATACCTGATAAAAAGCAGTTAACAAGAGCCCAAAGAAATTCATGACTGGAGGACAAAAAGATCCAATGATACTGTAATCCACAAACAATGAAGAAAAAATTCTCACCAATGCTCCTCCTTCCAAAACCATCTCATTTGTCACTGGATCCTTCTGAACAGCTGCAGTTAGTCCCACACCACTGCTCCCTTTTCCTGTTGTATAGACACCCCGTGGTGCAACATTAATTATGTGCTTAAGAAGCTGACTTTTTGCAACCCCTGGGTCACCCATCAAGCATATATGTATATCTCCTCTAATCTGCATTTATAGAAAAGTCATAATCCATAGACCAAGGGCAAAACATCAAAGGAAACTAGATATCCGAAGTTCAATTGTATATAGAAGTTAATTGTAAAAGCGCATAGGAAGAGAGAAATTCTAATTCTTATAAGCTGCAGGCTTTATTCATAAAATTTAAACATTCCCTTTAAGAATAGGTGGATTTAAAGTTCTGCCTAAGCAAATTACCTTCATGCCATCCTTCAACTTTCGATGAGGAGCACCCACTAGAAGAAGAAGAAGAGCTTTTTTAATATCCTCATGTCCAAAAATTTCTGGGGCTAATGATCTTGCAAGCTTATTATAGATATCACCATCCTCAGCTAATCGAGATATCTGCTCTTCTTCATCTTCTTTAAACTCATATCTGCACATAAACACCAATTGATGGTCCAATGCACTAATTTAGCAAGTGAACATGCATCTTATTCATTCTCCATTGCTGCAAAGATGATATATTTTTCAAACACTTTAAATATTGTACAAAGCTTACTCCTCATATTTTTTCTTGAAATGGGTAACAGACATGGCTTCCAAGTAAGTATCTGCAATTAAGCCTGCTCGCATTGCTCTAAATCCAGTGTAAGGGATAGGAAGGAAAATCCCTGACAATTCAACAACATCACCAGGAGCTACCTGCCATGTTGAGTTTTTAAAATAAATATTCCATATTAATAAAAGATAAGAATATTGATCAATATCCAGTGTTAAGTTTGGAAGCATGATAAAATGTATCGACCTTAACCAAAGAAAAGAATGTGTAAAACACACCCTCTTGGCAAAAAAAAAAAAAAAAGAAAGAAAGAAGAGATACTTGGTGAAATAGTTTAATGGTTTTGTATTTATAGAGTATACAAATAAGCATTATCTTGACAAGTCTATCAACTACACCAAGAAATATAAGTATCACTAATGGCCAACCTTTCGTGTAAGTTCTCCCCTAAAGTGAACAGTCATTGATCGAGGAATATGACCTTTAGGAACATGCTCGGCCAACTCTTGAATTTTCGCCTGAGATCAGTGCCAAAAAGTAAACAAAATTAAGATCTATGTGTTAATACATATTGCAATTCAGATACGGTGAATGGGCAAACCTCCTGAAATTTCAAAAACTTTGATGCTCTCAGTTGAAGGATAAGATTCCCTTTTGTTCTATTTATTTTGCAGCGAGAGGATGGGCATTCAAATAAAGGCATGAATACCCTAGCAGTGACCTCCTGTTAATAAAATGAACATTCAGATCAAATAAAGGTCATGACAAAAACTACGATATCTGATGTTCTTGAAGTACATCATGCCTCATAACTGTTAAATGAAATAACTGTCTTGCATGGACTCAACAAAAATGGATATAACCAATTGAAGTTCACCTGATAAATTTCAAACCCACACTCTTCACATGTGTACACAGCAACCTGCATCAATGGCTTTACATCGGAACAGCGAGTCACAATGCCAGAAATTTTGACAAGCTGACCAATATATGAAGCCTTGACCTCCCTAATTGTAAGTGGCCGGACTTTTGAAGATGTTGTGATGTCACTGATGTAGACTTCACTGGTATCAGCAAAGAAAACTATAGTTAGGATCTGTTTGCTATGCTTGTTACTATAATAAAGCTCAGATGGTTGAACTAGCAATTCTACAACAGATAAACGAAAGAGTATCCTGGTCTCAAACTATCTGGTCTGCTGAATATTTAAGAATTCACTCAGGCGGACCAAGACTCCAAGGAAATGAGCCTTTATTGTAGGAACACTAGGGTCATAAACAATTCAATATGGAGAAAAATTTGGAATTTGGATAGCTAAAGGAAGAATAAGAGGCTCATTTTGACTTGTGGAGCTTACTAGAAACGCTTAATTTCAGGAGGCATCCTTTGGCGTGCATCAGAACCATCAGTGTTCTCAGTTCCTTCCTCAGATCTCTGTGTCATCAAGATATCATGATCCTCATCGTGAAACACCTCTGTTGGTTCCGGCATGAGCTCATCAATGGCACTTGCAAATATAGCAATATAGCGACGTGTGTTTTCTCTGACCCTCTGAAAGAATTCTTCATCCAAGTCCTTGTACTAATAAAATGACATAAATTAGTAATGTCATTTAAGAAGCTCAGATTAAGCAACTACCAAAGATTTATTCTTTGAAGAAAAAGAAAAGGAGCAACGGAACTTACACTAGCTAGGTCTTCAAGCACAATCTGGATGGCCTTGATTTTCCGATTGGCAACATCTTGCTGAACAAAGTGCAAACGAAAAGGAAGGAAAGAAGTTAAGACATGAATTAACATTAAACTGAAAATAATGAGAATTTAAAATTGAAAAAGAACACTGAAACAAATAACATGTTGAGAAATGAGAACTCACTAGGATATTCAAGTATTTGGCCTCGCCATCTGAATCGGGGAAATTCGACAGAAAATCTTTGGCGAGATCTACATTCCAAATAAAAGAAATGTCTAAGCACCGATACAAAATGCATCAAAATGGGAGAGGAAAAAGGCACATCCTACCTTTATCTCGTTCGAAGTCATGACCATCCATCATCTTGCCGTCACAGGAAACCGCCCTGCTTGGAGTCGCTGGTTGCTAGTGAAAGACGCCCTACTTGAGCTCGCTGGTGAGGTCGACGGCGGTCACAGGCAGCTTGGGGCTCCGATCGAACTGTCTCTGAGGTGGACGGTCCAGGTTGCTCTGCTTCTAGGGTTCTCTGAGCGGAGGATGGAGGGCATTGGCGCCAAAATGTGGATAGTTAAAGGCAGAAGGGAGAGGTTTGGCGGGAAAATGAGTAGGTTAGAATAGTGTCCATGGCTCCAAGCGCTACTGTAGCGCGTGTTTGTTACACTCTTGACAAAATTATTATGTTGCATTTTGTTTGTTTGATGGAGTTAATGAGGTTTGACTGAAGTTATTTATAATTTATTTAATTGTTTATAATATTCAATTTAGTATTAGTATATAAAATTAATATATTTAAATATTATATTAAAAATATTATTAAATACAAAAAATTAAATTTTAAAATAATTAAAAATTACTAATAATAATAATAAAGTTAGTTTGACCAATGAATGGTAAATAGACCGACAAAATGGGACAGATGAAGTATAATTTATGTTGTTTGAATTTTTATTTTTTGTGATAAATATTTTTTATCATTTGAACGGTGAGAGATTATTTTGCATGATAATACAAAAATGAAATTTTGAATATACGAGAAAATGACCTTTTTTAAAATAAAAAATTGGATAAATGTATTTGGCACTAGTAATGTAAGTAGTGTTAGCTATTCTGATAAACTCGATGAATGCTTGAGCTCAGTTTAGGTGGATTACACCTCTATTTGTAATATAATTTGGTAAAAAAAAAAAATCAAATTAACCGACTGGACTTATAAAATTCAATTAATAGTTAATTACCAAGATGATCCCTTGACTATAACGAAATTATTAATTTAGTCAATGTCTATTTTATATTGACCAATTAAGTCTCTCAACTTTGAAAATCTTAACCAATTTGGTCCTCTGTTAGTATTGCCGTTAGATTTCCGTTAACTTTGGACCAAATTAGTAATTTTGCTAAAGTCAATAAACAATTTCAGTAATTAATTTTAGGGGTGGCAATTCAATTCGATTTTTCCAAATCGAACTGTACCAAACAATCGAACGGTAATGAATTATTGTACGACTCGGTTAAAAAATGAAAGGAAATGCCATTTGATATTATTTAAAATATAATAATAATAATAATAATAATAATAATAATAATAATAAAAAAGTAAATCCAAGTGTCTTGATGCCTCCTTTACGGTTCAGCTCATATTCTCACTGGTATCTCTCGTATAAATCTAAAATCTAATATATAACAAAGCCAACTGATGTTTACTATTTTGTTATAAAATATTTACGAGAGCTACCAGTGACAATATGAGCTGAACGGCAGAGTTCGTAGCAAGGGACTTGAAGCAGAGTAAGCAACAAGGAACTTGGATTTATCATCATCATCATCATCATCATCATCATCATCATCATCGTCATCATCGTCATCAATGTCATCATCGTCATCATCGTCGTCATCATCATTATTATTATTATTATTATTATTATTATTATTATTATTATTATTATTATTAGTATTATTATATTTTAAAAGTTCAAACGATATTCGGTTTGATTCAGTTTTTTTTTTATCAAATAATTCGGTTTGCTTTAGTTTTTTACCAAACCATTCGTTATACAAGAATCCATTATCATTCAGTTGTTCGATTCGGTTTGGGAAAATCGAACCGAATTGCCACCCATAAAGTTAATTATTGAAATGGTCTCTTGATTATAATAAAATTACCAATTTGGTTTCAAGTTAATGGAAGTCTAACAGTAAAACTAACGGAGGACCAAATTGATTAAGATTTTTAAAATTGAGGAACATAACTAGTCAAAAAAAGTATTCGAAGACCAAAATAATAATTTCACTATAGTTAATGACCATTTGATAATTAACTCTTCAATTAATTTGGTCGAATTATTAACCAAGAAATATAACTTAAATATTGTTCAGGCTTTAGAAGAGCAAGCAATAGTTATTTGTAAAAATATATGAATAAGATTTCACCAATTGTTCTTTTTCATTGATAAATCAAACACTTTGGCCCTGTTTGGTAAATGACTATTAATTGATAACTGTTAATTAATTGGGTGAATTAAAAGGTATAACTAATTAATAACATTAACTAATTGTAAAAATGTGTTTGGTAAATTAGTTGTTAGCTGATGTTTTGTATAATTTCTATTCTCAAAAAGCTAATTAAAAAAGTTGCTTTGAGTAGTTTTTAAAATTTTAGCATTTTGAAGTACAAAAAGCTAATTAACCAAAAACTTATAGTATTAATTTTTAAACCAAATCAAACAACTAATAGTGGCCAAATAAACCAAAATTGACCTATAGGCTAACTATTTTACCAAACACAGCAATTGGAATTACACAATACAATATATTTGGGCCGCTGGTCGCTAGGGTCATAAAACATAAGACATGGTTTATCCAATATACATCTTCAGGTAGTACCTACCAGTTCTCCTCATCACCCTATATATATATATATACATAAATGCTAGTTTAAGAGAAACATTATTCATATATCTGCATGACCATTTTATGGTGGACTTAGCATTATCAGTACACTCCACTTCCCTGCATTCTGCCTTTATAGTATCAATCAATGGATTTCAACTTTCAACAACCTGCACTGCTATAACACCCTCTTCACAACGCCAAGAATGCAACTTTAGCCCAACGTCCTATGCCAGTTTATTTAGTATCAGCAAGACCATCATTGTAGCGCTTCCTTTCACTCAAGTAGCTTCTAATATTTGAACATGCGCCCGCATGATTCACTGAAGCAAACTGTTAAGAGTCTCACATCGAAAATATAAAAGAGAACATACGTGTTCATAAGATTATGAGTTAGACAAGCTAATTGATTGGATTCAACTTAGTTTGGCTCATAATCAAACCGCTTCCCTTCTGGGACATTGGACGATTCCCCATTTTTCTGCTAGATGCATCTGCAAAATCAAATTGATCCAGAAAAGAATTAATGGCATACTTACTAATATAAAAGGAAAATCGAATAATTGCCTACATCCAAGCATGAGATTCAATGTATATACATAGTACCTGATAAGTGTAGTGGTAACCAAGCAGGAAGCCCATCCAAGAACAGAGCTGAAACTGTTGAGCTTGAATCTAAGAAAAAAATTTGGAATAAGGTAATAACCAAACCAAAAGAAAAGAGAATAGCAACACAAATTGGTTTGATACTTAGAAGAAAATAGTACCCACTGGTCAACAGATAAAAGGAGGCCATGCATTAATAACGGGAGAAATTCTCCATTTTTCAGGAGAAATGGAAAACAGAGAATATGTTTACTTGTACATTTGAAAAACAGATGAAGGAAAACTAAGAATTAAAGCAAACGCAGAGGTAATTTCTGCAAAAAATGCTTAAAGAAAACCAATCACCTGGTCCTTCTTGGCAAAAGAAAAGGGAGGTCTGATAGACCAAACAGGAAAATTCCCCAATGAGAATGAAGAACCAAGAGACAAATAGAAGGATCATAAAGGATTGGCAGTGAACAAGCCACCAACTCTAGCCCTTCCATCAATCAGAATGACATGATGCTCCGAATGAAGCAACATCATTTATGATGTCCCCAATTTGGGACAATTAGCATTACCCCTAGAACCTTGTTCACATCCCCTATCCTTGTCTCTACAGCTTTGCTCATACTAATCCCCCCAAAAAAAAGTATTAGTACACTGTTTTCTCTTTTAGTCTTGGGAAATAAGGCTTGCCTCATTGCCCAAGACTAAAAGCCTTATTTCCCAAGACTAAAAGAGAAAACAGTGTTCTGTATATCCCTTCTCCCTGAGGAGTCTCCACCTTCCTTTCCTTCCCATCACAGAGAAAAAGAGATTTAAATAAGCTGAAGTACCAATAATCTCCTTGTAAAAGATAAGCTAGTTGGATGCAAGCCAAGTAGAAATAAACAAGAAATGTCCATTATCATCTTCACATACAGTACCATATGTCCATAGCTATATTATTTTTAAAAATTCAAAGATGCATGAATACAATCTTCCTCATATTAAATAAAGCATAAGCAAAGATTCAGTCTTCTCAATGAACTTATGGCATTCAACATGCATTTGGTTGAAAAGCAAGGCCAGTGTTGAAAGTCTAATCCAGAAGCACATGTTAGGATGCAGGAATATAGCTTTTGATCCTTGAAATAGTTGTGTCAACATAATGAAGACTTCTACTAAAGCAGTGCCTTGCATACATAAATAAATAGGCATTCTATACATTGTCATTTTCTTTGTGAGTTCACACTTCAGATTGTGCATGTCTTTAGGAATGGTCAAGATAAGTGTTTCTTTTTTAATTAAAATAACTAAGACTAACAACAAACAATAGTTATAATGTACCTCTATAGTGTAGTAGGCCAAATAAAGCAACTTTCTGAACAAGGCAAGGCTGTAGCATCAATTATGTTTCAGATCTTCTATAGAAGTTCCGTGAATCTGACAGCAGTTGATGCAGAAAATACCAAAACCAGCAAATAAAAATTTGCCCAATCTTGAGCTACTAGGTTCAGGTTTAGTACTCCAATCATAGCCCCAAGTGGTAACATTTTATCCATCCACCTTACCAATAATCCCGACAAGAGCAAAACCCATCTTTGAAATGGTGAAAACGAGTGGCATCCCTAACAATAATTTCTCTGCCAACAAGCTTGGAGATGTATTTAATTGCAGAGTGGCAGTCATTACAAACTCTAAGGTTTTTCATGATCCTTAAAGTAGTATTATCTGGGGTATTTAGTAGCCCGAATGCAATAGCAAGCTTTTCACTATGATGCCGAAGGAGCTCGTCTTTCAACTCGTGATCAAGATCGTGCAGCACTGATTCAGTATCTGGAACAAAACCCAGTTTCTTAATCTCTTTCCATATTTTTTCCATTGTCTGAAATATAGCATCCCTTTGGGGATGAAGCACATCTTCAACCCCAAAAACGTGAACTTCATTCTTTATCTGAACCCAGCTAAATCCTTGTTCTTTCTTAACTTGCCTATCCTTCATTGATTTTCTAATTTTAGCAGCTTCTTCCCACTTATGGCAAGCCGCATAGGCATTAACAAGTCCTGAATAGGCCCCGCTATTTTCAGGATCAATTGAAAGTAATCTCTCAGCTGCAAGTTTTGCCAGCTTAACATTCTTGTGAACTTTACAGGAAGCTAACAATGAGCCCCAAGCTATTGCATCTGGTTCAATTGGCATCTTCTCTATAAAATCTTGTGCTTCTTGCAGCAGTCCGGCACGTCCAAAGAGGTCAATCATGCAGGAATAGTGGCTTGAGGTGGGTTCAATACCATGCACATCTTTCATCATCCTGAAATATAGGCGACCTTGTGCTACCAAGCCAACATGTATACAAGCAGAGAGAACACCTACATAAGTGATATGATCAGGTCTTATACCCATTGCCAACATATTCTCAAATAACTGTATGGATTCCTCTCCAAATCCATGTTGAGCTAAAGCTAGGATCATTGAAGTCCAAGATACAGTTTCTTTTTTCCAATGTATCAAATTAAATACTCTCTGTGCACAACTTATGTTTCCAGACTTTGCATACATGGTAATCAAGGCATTACTTACAGAAACTGATAATGCTTCCCCTGATTTTAAAGCTGCAGCATGGATTTGTTTGCCATGATTCAAAGATGCTAAGCTCGAGCAAACACTCAGCATAGCTGCTAGAGTATAGCTATTGGGTTCTGGCCCTATTTCAAACATTAACCTGAAGAGATCCATTGCATCATTGTTTAAGCCATTCTGCATGTAGCCAACAATCATAGCTGTCCATGCAACCACATCCCGGTCCTTTAGTGAATCAAAAATCTTCCTTGCTGGATCTATATCACCAAGTTTGATGTAGCCATTCAGTAGGGCGGTAAAAGCAATAACATTTAAATTGGATATTCGACCCTGCTCCAAAATCCTTTGGGCAATTTCTACTGCACCACATTGTGAGTACATGGATATCAAAGCATTCCCAACTGCCCCAGAAGAGTCAAACTCAGTTCTAAGAATATGAGAATGGATTTGTTTCCCTACATTTAGCTCTTCAAGATTAGAACAAGCTGATAGTACACTTGCTAAAGTATAATGGTCCGGCTTCAGCGAGGATTCCCTAAGCATTCGATAAAATATATTTAAAGCTTCAACATTAAATCCATGTTGGTTATAACCTGCAATCATTGAATTCCAGGAAACAATATCTTTGTCATTCATTTGCTCAAACTGTGCCAATGCAAGATCAACTCGAGCAGTTTGCATATGCAATGAAATCATTGCATTCCAGCTAGAAATGTTCTTTATTGCTATCCTATCAAAAACAATTCCAGCTGAACTAACATCACCTGATTTGGCATACATATTCAACAATGAATTGTCTACAGAGACATACCTACTCAACCCAAATTTCACAACATTAGAATGAACCTTCCTGCCTATGTCCAATGATCTAATTGCAGCACAAGAAGCAAGAATGCTTGTAACTGTATACTGGGTAGGCAACACATTGCAGCCAACCATCTCAAGAAAAGTCCTAATTGCAACTTTAAACTGACCAATTAAGTTATACCCGACAATCATAGTGGTCCACGTGATATCATCAGGACAAGGCATCTCATTAAAAATGAGACGCGCTTCATGGATTAAACCCCTTTTTGCATAAGCAGATAGCAATGTGTTCCAAGACGATGCATCCCTTGTAGGCATTTCATCAAACAGACTTTGTGCATCAGAAATAAACCCATTTTTTCCATATGCATTGATGAGATTATTCATCAGGAACGGACCTAAGTGGAGCCCGGACTTTATTATCCGGACATGGATCGATCTTATAGCAAGTGGGTCTTTGATTTTCAAGCTTGTTTGGAGAAGTGAGGCATAAAAATCCGACAGCAGAGGATGTGAGTTTTGGTGTGTCATCATAGGAGTGGATAAAATGAACAAATTATCAGGAATGATATTGGTAGAAAGATAACTGGTTTCCTTAATTCTTTATTATCTAACTTGAACAAAACCTTGAAATTTTATGATTTAAGAATCTCAATTCTCAAACATTTTTGCATCTTGCCTTCAACAATGTTGAGCTGTCCAAAAATGGAAACAAACAACAGAAAAATGTTTTCAAAAATAAAAAATTGATATAGTAGTTTTTAACATCAACATAGTAGAGCTCCATAAAAGCTCATGGTTGAAACTTGAAAATAAAGTACCTCTGCATTCAGTGAGAAGTGTAAAAATTATGCAAACAACCACAAATTCGTACACATACATATACCAATTTAAAAGCCACGAAAAGAAGCACATTGTGCTGGATGGTACCTATGTGGCTCCCTTTGAAGGAAGGTCAACCCCAGTGGAGGTCTATTGACTCTTTGGGCTGCAATACATAGAGAAAGTATAGAAATACTACATTCTAATAGAGTCAATAGTACTAAAAAATAGTAAAACAAAGCATAAAACACTAAAACTAACTGGGAAATTACAGATAATATACACAAAATACAAACAATTTACACAGAATAATCTTTTTGGGGCTTATATGTATACTAGTCTTTTTACACACTTTGCGTGAATGAGATAATGCCCACTGATTATTTTTAAATAATTAAGTATTTCAAAGTATATCAATACAATATTATATAGGACTAATAGGAGAGGTTCATGCATAAGTAAATAATGCTGAGTTTGTATATTTAAATCAGTAATTTAAAGTATATAAATGCAATATAATATATGAGAGATTGATTATAATTATCACTAAAATAAATGGTTGCAACTTTGTAATAACGTTGGTTTTAAGTACTTAGTCTAAAAGCGATAGTCTAAATAAATACTACTTTTAGTTTAAATTTCTCTAATTCTCTTTTGGATAACATTGTCATTGTTTTCATCTTCAGTACATGTCCTTTTTTTTTTGATTGGTAGTGTTTCATGGGTTAGTGGTGGTAGTATAGAGGGATTCATCATTCAATGAGATTATAGTGTAGGAAGTTTTATATTTGCCTTACTGTGTATATGACTGAAATCTTAGTTGTACTGTAAACTCTTTATCTTACAAGTTTTTCCCATCTCTAAGAACGCATTACGAGTTTACACTTCCTAACAGGGATGATTCATGATTGGATAGCTAAAGTGCGTATATCTAGAGCTGGGAATACACAACACACTTAAATCCAAAATCTCACCAAAAACGTAAATGGATCTTGATTTACTAGTGATATGATAATACACTCAAAATCTCCATGATTTCCTCTGTTTATTCAATTACTCAATGCAGCCCTCAGATTTCACATCTCCAACGAATTTCAAATCTCAACAAGTAAAGAATTGAAACTATTAGATAAAAAAAATCAATCTCATAAACTGAGACGGTCCAAATCATATCCACCGATTGAGAATAGCCAAAATTTTAAGTCAATTATGAAAAGAAAAAAAAAACAGCAATTTCGAGCATATATACATATGGGGGAGAGATTTGATACCTGCAAATACAGAGGGATTTAGAGCTTGTTCTATAGGATCTCGAGTCAGCCACAACAACTTAGAGCCAGACAGTAACGTTGTTTCGGAGAGTTTGATGAGTGGGATTGGGAGACGTGAGAGAGAGAACAATTTACAGTATTACTGTAGTAGGGTTTGTCTTTTGTTTTTAAAAGAGACATACAAAACGCGAATACCAACCCTTTTCTCTCTTCATCTCAAATGTAAATTATACTATTAGGGGGTGTTTGGTTGGATGGAAAACATTTTCCATGGAAAATGTTTTCCTAAAAGTGAAGGAAAATGATGTTTTATGTTGTTTGGTTGGATGGAAACATTTTCCATTAGAAAAAGTTTTCCTTGAGTATAAGGAAAACAAATTCCTAGCTTTTGTTAGGTATTTTGTTTTCCATGAAAAACTAATATGTCAATTTTACCTTCACAATTCTTTATTAATTACTCTTATTATTATTATATTATTATTGTTGTGTAGGGTTATATTTGTCATTATACACATTATTTCTTACCATTCCAAACTCAACCAAACAATAGAATTCATATTCCCAGTAATTTTTTTTCCACCAACCAAACAATAGAATCTATTTTCTTCGAATTTATTTTTCATGGAATTTCAATTCCATTTCCCTTCAAATATTTTCCAGCGAACCAAACGAGCCCTTATGGCCCGTTTGGTTCACGAAATAAGTCAAAAATGACATAGCATTCTTAATAATAGACATGTTCATTTATTTGGTAACTATTTATATTACCAGGAATAACTTATTACCTCAAATAAGGTAATAGCTATTACTAGATCCTTCTTGCATCCTTGGTATTAACTTATTCTTGAATCCTCACGAATATATTTTTTTTTCAATTTTAACCTTTATTATTCCCTGCGTTCTCTCCCTACATCTACGATTCCTTCCTCGATTCTTTTCATCATCAGTATCAATCAAACAATTTTTTCCGTCATTCTGCATCAATATTTGCAATTCTTTCTATCATTGACATCTCCATCAAATTAAAGCTTCAAACAAAGATAATTTAGAAACATAATAATTTTTTTAGAGAAATATAATCTATATTATATTATAGAATAAATTAATATATATGGTAACGCGTCGCGTGAAAATGATTTCGTTTTTCTACTGTGGTTTCGGTCCACGTAATAACTATTGAATTAGTAGGCCGATTCGAGTCCGATGCTTTCCAAGTTTACAGTTTGCAGGTTGCAGCGTACACTGTAAGAAATCCGCGCTATAATGAAAAAGGGAGGCTACGAGTTTCAAAAATTTCCCGCTAAAATTCTAAACTTTGGCTAAAGCTCTACCACCGCTTCAATCTTCTCCGAAAACCAGAATACCACGACTGACGTCACATTCAATTCTGAGATGAAGAACCAAAAGCCGCAGCCGCCGCCGCCGCCGTCGGCGACGAAAAATCCTAACAATACTACCACCAAAACTGTGGTGCACATCGGCGGCATTCTGGTGGAGTTTCCCTACCAGCCGTACGGCACGCAGCTGGCGTTTATGAATAGGGTTATTGCGACTCTCGATCGAGCGCAGCGGGAGGGTCGATCTCACGCGCTGCTTGAGTCTCCGACCGGTACCGGAAAGTCGCTTTCTCTTCTCTGCTCCGCCCTTGCTTGGCAACAGAACTTCAAGTCCAAGAGCCGTCATTCCAATCCCACTTGCTCAAAGCCCGACCCGGAGGCCCTTGCTGATCCCATTGGTCACGGTGGTGGCTTTATTCCGGAAACACAACCCTCAGGTAGTGTCTTTTTTGTTTTATGATCAACATTTCGAATTGCAATTTTCTGCTTTCTCATTCTATGAATGGCAATGTTATCCGGCTGTTATTTCTGTTCAGGAAACCCAGAACCAGCACCATCTGTCACAACAGCTGGAAAGAACCAGAAGAAGTTGACGCCCACTATTTTTTATGCTACGTAAGATTTAACTCTTTTGGATTATCTTTATTGATGCCTTTTTGAACGAAGAAGCACCAAAATTTTGCATTGGTAGAATGCCCAAAATATATGCACTCTATATTGCTTGAATCCTAGAGTTGCTAAATGAATGCATGTCAGCTATCTTTTTGGTTAGGTATTATTGCAATTAAAATTAATTCATCTTCCTGTTTCTATGCAATCAGGAGGACCCATTCACAAATTTCTCAAGTGATCAGAGAGTATAGAAAGACATCTTACCGGGTCCCTATGGGTGTGCTGGTAGGTTCATTAATGTTGAAAACAATAATGCTTTCAATACCCACTTTTAAGTGTTGTATAATCACAGCATCAACTTCAACATTGCAGCACCTTATAATGCACCATCTTCTCTAGAGTTGCTGTTGATACTTGACAGTTGACATGTCTAATGTACAAGCATTCACTTTTTTTTTTTTTTTTTTTTTTTTTTTTTTTTTTTTTTTTTTCAGGCATCACGAAGACATTATTGTACAAACATGAATTTGCGCGGGATGGACAATATTGATGAAAAATGGTAATTTCCTTTCTTCCCTTTTTTCCCCCTTTTTCTTTTTATAGTTTTTTTTTTTGTTCTCTTTTGTTTGCTTACATGTATGGTTGAAAATCCCAGCAAGTTGTTATTAAAGAATAAAGAAGCAGGTTGCTGTGAGTTCAAGTAAGTCAGTTGTCCATATCTGTATTGCTACTTTACCATTCTCCTATAGATGAAAACATGAGCACATAAGTGTCTTTGTTTCCTGACAGAAATGCTCATAAGGTCAAAGCCCATCCATCTCTTCAGAAAGGAGGTTGCCACGAGGCTCATGATATTGAAGATCTTGTCAAAGTTGGACAAGTTGTCAGGGGTTATGCTCGTACCTCTTTCTTCTTTTATAGTTTAGTACTTAAATTTTTTTACCAATAGTCTGCATTTTGTTTCTCAGGATGTTCGTACTTTGCAGCAATGTCCATGGCTGATGATGCAGACCTAGTTTTTTGCCCATACAACTATATCATTAACCCAGTTGTTCGGAAAGCAATGGATGTGGATATCAATGGGGCCATTATTATTCTTGATGAAGCCCAGTATGTATTGTTTTTTAGAGGTTTACCTGGTGTTATATTGCACCAAGTTGTTTATGGAGAAAATGCATTGAGTAAATAAATGTATCTGTCCCTGTTGCATTTACAAGATACAAAGTCTTGTGTCAGATCCACACTAACTCACAAATTCAAATGTTTATTGCAATGTTTGGTATAATGCTTGGGGGGGTTGATTAGATATGGAACATTTTGTGCAAAACATTTTACCTAAGAGGGTGTCTTTGAGTGATACCAAATGTTCATGCATTGCTTTGATGAGTACCCTTAGCAATTTCTTTTACTTTAATTGGTCTTGCTATGTGCAGCAATATAGAAGATATCTCCCGAGATGCTGGTAGTATGGATGTTGAAGAACTTGTCTTGCTTCGTGAGTGTGGACTCACTTTCCTTGATTTTTATTTGTGTGCAGTTCTTGCCTCTAAATTTGATGAGTGCTTTCTTGTATATTTAACTTTGATTTACTGATTTCATTTTTGGAAGAATTGTTGACTGAGCTGGAGCAACTTAAAGATAGTGATGCAATGACTTACGAACCCTTGATAGAAATGGTGGAGGTAATTGATTGGAATGAATTTCATCCCTGGATTCCCTGCTATTTGAATCCAAACCCTTCACAAGCTCTCAACAATTATTTTCAATTTTTTCTAGGAAATCATAAAATGGATTGATAGAAGGAAAGACAGTCTAGAAAGGCATGACTTTCAACACTACTTTTCATGGTGAGTTATTCTTTTGCAATACAAGCATTGTGCTTCCTGTTCTCTATGCTGATAATTGCTTCTCTGCACCCACCCCCACCCCCAATCCCTCCTTTTGGTGTCTTCTAAAGCTTCTGTGACTGTCAATATTGTTTATGTAGGGAATAGTGAGCAACTTTTGTTTGTTCATCCCAACTCTCAATACATTATTCCCCTGAATAGATGCTTTGGTTGATTGTTGCTATGCCCTTTTCCATGTTAATTTACCTCAGTTGTTTGGTCAAGTGATTTTCAGTTGGACTGGTGACAAAGCTTTAAAGGAGTTACAAGAAGCCAATGTGTCAAGACAGTGCTTCCCTATATTAAAAGAGTGTGCTACAAAGGTTGTCTCTCTAAAGAACATAATAAACATCACCAAATATTACATGTTCAGGCATTGGTGTTAATTTCTTTGCTTTTGTTGTCACCAACTCACCATCATTACTGTCATTGTTACCTTTCCTTCAGGCAATTAGAGTTGCTTCTGATGCAGAGCCAGATGTAGCTCATTTGAGTGGCATGGCAGCAACAGTTCTGGAAGGTATCACATCTTGTCACAGATATAAGTAATGCTGGGTTTGGCTATCAACTGAAATTTGTGACTTTTTAACGACTGTTTCTGCTGCACAGGGTTGTTCTCTTCACTTAATTACTTCTTCTCAGAGAATGGGATTCATGTATGTGATTATCAGCTAGCATTACGGCGTCATGTCAAAAGAGTTGCTGGTATGTGGTTAGAAGTTAAATAGAAAGAGATGCCACTTGGTTATTGTTAATTATTATCCATCTGGAATGCAGAGCATCCTTACAACCTCTGGTGAATGGATGGGGTAATGGGCAGGTGTACTCTTAAATTTAATTTAAGAGTATCACAATATGTTAGAAATTATTTTAAAGTAACTAGTTATATATAGAGTATAATACAGACCTTTGAGCTCTTTGCAGAGGAAATAATGCAGAACTATGTCTTTTTTACTGTAGTTCAGTCTATAATTGATATTTCTCATCTTTTCTTGACTCTTATCACATTATGCAACTGCAGGAACCGCTGTTAATGACTGGACACTTACATTTAGCTTATGGTGCTTGAATCCCGCTGTTGTCTTCAGAGAAATTGCTGATCGTTCTCTATCTGTTATCCTAACATCAGGGTATACATACATAATGCCTAACTGGAATCTTTGTGGTGATACTTTAATATTTCCTCATTAAAAAAATTTCAGATTTGTTTGGGTTCAATTATTTGAAGGAAACTCTCATATAGTCCTATGCAGTTCTAAAGTATTAGCATATAATGATTTATGTAAGTACCTGTGGATAGATTTTTTCCTAGGAATTTGTCACACTATACTTCATTTTGTTGTTTCATTTTCTGGAGCTTATGCTAAGTTAGAGCTTTTTTATGCATCATATTTTGCTACTTCATAGTTACTTTTGTGCTCAAAATCTCTGCAAATCTATCTTAAAAGGTCATTTAGTTTACCAAAGGTTGCCCTTACAGGACTTTGTCACCGATGAACTCCTTTTCATCTGAACTTGGTGTTCCTTTTAGTACTTCACTGGAAGCTCCACATGTTATAGACACTGAATCACAGGTATCATGGGCATCTGCTATTTTGCTATATTTATTATATAATTTTAGTGCTGACTTGATAGATGTGAACTTCAGTTATGGGCAGCTGTAATCTCAAGGGGTCCTACAAATTATCCACTGAATGCAAGTTATAAAACAGCAGATTCATATGCTTTCCAGGTACTGCTAGCCATTTACACTAACATTTGACCATAATGAGTTAAGTCTTTCACCCCCTCTTCATTGCCATCCTTTCTTTGTGAAGGATTCACTTGGTAAATCTTTAGAAGAAATATGCAAGGTTGTTCCAGGTGGCTGTCTTATATTCTTTCCTAGCTATAAACTGATGGAGAAACTAAGTAGTCGCTGGCAAACAACAGGCCAATGGGATCTACTTAATGCTAAGAAACCCCTTTTTGTTGGTAAGATTTGCTTATATTTATTGTTTGACTATCGGTACTTTGTTTACTTAAATGTGAAGGGATCAAATTGACTAAAAACTATGTACACTATGCATTTGTGGATGTGTGGAAGAAAACTGATTTAGCTTGATTATGTTTACCAATACCAATAATTCTTTCTTGGCTGGCTTTGTTTTATTTAGAGCCAAGAGGAAGCCAGGAAGAATTTGAATCTGTTTTGAAGGGTTACTATGCATCCATTCACCAGGGACGTAAACCAGTCTTGGGAAGAAGGAAGGGCAGGAAATCTGAGAAGAATTTATCAGGATCTTCTGAAGATAATAAGAAAGAAGCTGCTTTTCTTGCTGTCTGCAGAGGAAAGGTATTCGACAGGAGCTTTTCTTCCTAGGACTCTTTTCTACCTTGTGTTTAAGTGCTGATTCCTGTTATGATCTTTATGGATAAATCAGATTATGTTTTAAGTCACAAGTATGGTTTATTATGATTCCCACTTTTGAGCTCAATAGCATTGTATTGGACAAAAATTCCAGCTGGAAGTTATAATACTTACCATAACTGATGTGGGAATTCATTATTTGGCATACTCTGTTCAAGTCATGCCAAAGTGTCTTCTTTATTCTCATATTTGCATCTGCTGGAAAACAAAGTGCTATTAACATTCTCTTATTTTACTCATGGTAGAAGTACAAGAGTTATTGTGTTAGTTGAATAGTCATGTCCCAGAATTGGCAGATGTTGTGAAGTGTTGAGACTCACATTGCCGATAAATACTAGGCACCTAGGCTATTGTAATCTCCAACTCATGATGCCCTGTTACTGGTGGGTGGTATATATTTACTACCCATTGGACCACAACTTCATAATATTTCTTAACAGAATAAGAAAGGGAATGCAGCTCTTGCCACTTGATTTTGTTTTATCTTTGATGGTATCCAAACTTCAAAAATTAATGCATATTCTGTAATCTAACTTGGTTACTGCAGGTTTCTGAAGGCATTGATTTCTCTGATGAGATGGCTAGAGTGGTCGTATCCTTTTTCTCTTTTTCTTGAACAATGTAAATAATTTTACTTGTTGAGTTCTAATGAAGAATGAATTTGATAGTGGATTTGTGTGCTTGATAGGCCATACTTTCACTTGGTTTCACAATTGAGATCACAGTAAAGGACTTTCATTAACATGATAATAGTATTCCTTTCAGAAGTGTAATTATTGGTTCTGATGTTTATTTAGTTAGAAGAGTTTCAATCAACTCATGGGCTACTTAACTATTATTTCAGATAGTTGTTGGCATTCCCTTTCCAAACATGTGAGAAATCCTACATCTTCATTTATATTTTTCTTCTAATTTATTTTGCTTGTGCATAATATCTTGCATTCTGGCCAATTGATAATCAGAAATGATATTCAAGTTTCACTTAAGAAGAAATTCAATGATACATATAAGTTGTCCAAAAGCCTTCTTAGTGGGAGCGAGTGGTACTGTCAACAAGCATTCCGAGCTGTTAATCAGGCTACAGGTGTATACCTCACTGGATTCTGATTTAATATTTTAAAAAAATTATTTTTCATCATAAATTGTTATATGAAGTGTTTTGTCTCTATTTTCATGTTACTTCCAAATTGAGATCTAATGCTAAGATAGTATGCCATATACTTTGTGTACAGTTTCTATTTGCAGCATGAAATATTATCTGAGGCTGTCATGTCTGTTGAGGTAGAGCAGGTGGCTTTAATTATATTTAAAACATTGGTGGAACAAAATATAGAAGGAAAATTGAAAAAAAAAAACAATAAAAAGATAAAGAGGACAGGAGAAGAAATGTGAGAGTTGTGATTGAGGGGGGAACTCAATTTTTGACAAATTGAGTTTTTGACATTTATTATAATCACAATTATGGCTGGTCCAACATTCATACAAAAGAACTCTCTGCAACTGCATTTTCTCCATTTTTCCACTTTCACGCTTAATTATCTTTGCTTCATTCGTACGTGTGTTAAGTTACTATTTACATTCAAATTCAATGGAAGCTCAGTATTGATAGAATGGTTGCTCTTCAAGTGTCAATTTAAACACTGAATTAAGCACTCCAGGTACAAACATATGGCCAATAAGCTTGCATTATGCCTCCACTTTAAGGAATTAACTTGAGGAGAATATAATTTATAAATTTAAACAGTAAATGTGTGATATCTCATAATTCAGCTTTTTGGAAGGCCATTATCTTGAAATATATGGCAGGATTATGCAATTGACTCAATTTTTTTCTTCTTGTTTTCTTTGGGATTTTTATCCTTGCATGCACACTCCTGAATATTCCAATGGAGATAGTGTGTATTACTAATTATCATCTTTTGTCATTATCAATTTTGTTGTGTTTGATCCTTATACTTGCCTTCTTTCCATGTAGGTCGGTGCATTCGACATAAATTTGACTATGGAGCCATTATTTTTTTAGGTACTTATATGATGTACATTTATTTTTTCCAAGGAAGAAAATTTTGACAAAGGCTTGTATAGCAAGATTAGGCTAATTATACAATTTTTTTTTCCCTTAAAGATGTTTTGAGGTTCTGTTTTACGTGCAGATGAGCGCTTCTGTCAGGTGAGGAATAGAGCATACATTTCAAAGTGGTTGCGGAACTCAATTAAACAATATGACTGCTTTGATGATTCATTGGATGGATTAAAATCCTTTTTCAGAGACATCAAGGTACTTAATTGACATTTTTTTTTTTTTTTTTTTTTTCTTTTAGCAGTTGGTCAACTGCAAAGTATAATTGTAGTTGCTCTTTCTGCACTTAATCAGGACCGTATTGGGAAGCCAGATGATGCCTCGCAAAATTCTGTTGTTAATCTTGAGGATATGCCTTCTGCAAATAAGAGCAGAATATCCAGGAAAACCAATCAGAAAGTGAATATTTCAACTCTGCCAGGGGAAAAAACAGAAGAAAATGATGCCAACAGAATTCAAAAATCTTCTGGCCTATTCAAAATTTCAAAGATGTTCACAAGATGTGACTTACCCAACAACCAAGTGAGTGCTGATATTCAGGGTTTCGTTTCTCCAAATGAAAAGAACTCAAAGGACAGCAAAAGTTATATTGATCTGGAATGTGAATCTCCAAATGGCTCCAGGTAGTTATCTTGGTCCTTTTAATATACTATGATGTGATGAATATTCATTTGCCAACAAATTTGTTACCCAGTTGCAAATGATTGCCTACTTATCATTATTTGATATTCCATTCTTCCATTCAGTTTGCAGAAACCGATAAACTGCTGCTCTATGTTCATTGTCTTAGATTATGAGCTCTCGTGTTATTTTGTAATGGCAATTAATATGTTAGTAGGTGCTCAGGAGAAGCATACGGAGCAGCATGCACTGGTGACCCTCAATCAACCTTCGTAATGGAAACTCCGGGTGTTAGTGGCACTATTCATTCAACTTCCCCCGAATCTTTCTCCAAGGAATATTCCAATTCAACAATTATTCAAGCATCTGTTCAGGATTTAAATAACTTGACATGTGATAACATGTCCATATCAGACGTGAAGCTGGATCCTGAATCAAAATGCTTGGAGGTTACACCTGAAAGAAATTTTTGTGCAGTAGGTAATGGAATAATTCCCGATGTAGAATCATCTGTAAGTTTTAGTGTGAATTCCCGTGCAGAGAAAAGGAGAAAACACTTGGATTTATCATCGGTTAGCCATCTTGAGGGAGAGAAACTTGATTCTGCAGTTGCCAGCACACCTATTGATGATTGCTCTCCATCCTCCTTAAGGAAGACCAAAGGTGAAAACTGGGGTATTGAATGTGATTCCATGTTTAGACTGTCAGATGAGAATGGGTCCAAATCTCCTAGGTCACAAACCCGGAATCATTGTGATAAATCATATTCGAAGTCTAGCCTTGCTATGGACAAGAGACTACAGATTTTTTGCTCTAGTTGCAGCAGTGCATTGGGGATTCCTGAGAACAATTTAATAGTTAAGTGCTCAATGACTTCATCAACAAAGGTTCACCTAAAATCACTTTGGAAGAGGAAATCGGATCCTGATCTGAGAACATCAAGCATTCCTATTTTGGTATCTGATATGGAATCAATTAATCAGCGAATCTACAATATAACCCGCGAAAGTAGTATTCCTGCTCAGGGGATTTGGTGTAAAGATGATGGATGTGTATTCAAAACTGTCTTCTGCCCCTTCTGTGCCAACCCCAACAATTGTCTTGGATTACAGGTCATGGCTGCTGATGCATCAAATGTCCAATTTCTGAACAAGGTATTGTAAGCCCTATTTGTGTCATCAATCCTTAAACATAGGGACGTTTGGCTTCATCTGTGATTACCTTTTCTAGTAACCAACAACCTTTGTATATTCATTTATGTGTGCAGATACTATTTTATTCTGATTCCCTCTTGATAAAGGCAGCTGAAACATCAACAACGGTAAGCTCCTTATCTAGTCTTGTCCCCGGCCTACTATCACTTTAGGATTGCTGTAAAGCTTAAATAATCTCTGATACAGAACTAACACAAGATTCCAACATAATATATTTTAGGCAGAAGTGTCAAATAGGCTCATCTACTACTGCGAAGTGCTCAATTCCCACCACAAACTAAATTAAGTGTCTAATAGGCTCATCTACCAGCTAAATTTGTTCGATTAGTTTTTTTTTGCAGGTTGCTAACAGGTTGCCTATTCAATTATTTAAAAAAATAAAATAAAAAAAAAAAGAATTTCAGCCACCGGCTGTCCGGCCGCATAGCCGATCTGGACCTCATGTTTGACAGTCGTGTCTGTCCGGCTGTCCTCATCGGACAGCCACGGCTGTTTGTGAAATACGCAGCCACCGGCTGTCCGCGCTGGATTCATTTTTATTTTTATTTTTTATTATTTTTTAATAATTTAATAGGCAACTTGCAAAAAAAGTCAATCGAACAAATTTAACTGGTAGATGAGCCTATTTGACACTTAATTTAATTCGTGGTAGGAATTGAGCACTTCGCAGTAGTAGATGAACTTATTTGACACTTCTGCCTATATATATTTTATGTATGCACAACTGCATACAAAGAAGCATGGTTGATCACTTATAAATGACCCATTTTCCACATTTTGTAGTGGATTTGTGAGATATAGATCCTTGTACTGTCTCACATGTTGCCCCTTTACTAACATTACATTATTCTTTATGAGCATTTTAGGATTTGTCCCCATGTCCTGGCTCTACCACATGTGAAAAAACTGGCCCTAGTTCCATTGAGAATTTCTCTCACACTCCATATCAAAGTCCAACATGTGTGAAGGCTGATCCTAGTACCATTGAGAATTTCTCATACACTCCAGATAAAAATTCTACAGGATGGAGAAGCACAAAGTCAAAGGTCAGACCTAGCTTGGAGTCAAACACTATATATAATCCTGCCAACTCTGATCTTTTACTTACAAAACAACTCATCACTTCCATTTAATGGTGCAGATGCGATTGCCAAAGAGAGGCCACCTTTAAGTGCTTTCTACAGTTGATGGATGGGGGCTTGAAATATCACCATTCTGTGGATGGCTGTTGAGTCAAGCTCTTCCTACTTTTGCCAAGGTTCTTCCAGGAAAGCACTAGGATGGAATATATGTTTGTGGCGATACATATTTTTTTAACATTTTAATTGTGAGTGATTATTTTCATGATACTACAAAAATGAAAAATTGAATATATGAGAAAATTATATTGTTTAAAATAAAAATCTAGATAAATATGTTTGGGACCCGGGATTCAAGTAGTGTCTGCTATTTTGATTAACTCGATAAGCTCAGTTTGTAGCACAATTTGGTTAAAAATCAAATTAACCAATTGAATTTACGAAATTCAATTAATTTGGTTCAATTATTAATCGTCATGTTTTCTCCCTAATCTATAGAAATATAACTTAGATATTGCCAAGGCCTTAGAAAAGCAAACATTAGGGGATCATTGACTTTAATTCTCTATTTTTTTAATTAGTTTTTCAATTTTCATTCTCTTTTTTTAATTTTTTTATTTCATTTTATAAATTTAATTTTTAAATAAAAAATCCAATACATACACCAATAAAAACCTTATACTAAATAAATTACAATTGATTACTCTTACATAACTAAAAAATCGTGAAACTAGAAGCATTAAAATAAAATCAGATTGTCAAAATTTGATTAACGAGTTAAAAAGTTCCATCGTCAATAGATCCCCTTTGAGCATCACTATCATACACTCATGTTCGAGCCTTTTAGCCACGTTTGATTATGCGATTTGTGTTTACATTCAAAGAACAGCGAACTAGCTAGCTCACAATTTAGCTAGAGCAATTGACTCTGGCCCTCAAAATTGAGATTTTATCCCACCAGATTGTATTCTCTCTTTGTTACCAAGTAATAAGTGTACATTTTTTAAAATAAATAGGAAAAAGTGTCAAATAAGCTCATCTACTACTACCAAGTGTTCAATTCACACCACGAACTAAAATATAGTCTAATTAGATACACTAAAATATAGTCTAATTACTTCCTAAAATTGTTTGATTAGCTTTTTTTGCAGGTTACCTCCAGGTTGCCAATCAAATTACTGACATGTAATTTTATTAGAATAAAAGTGTATGGTGAGGTGGAAATTACTTCTTGACAGCAAGAACCCATGTCCAAACCAAACAATCTTCATCTTCGAAGTCCGAGAAGACGATAATCAAAACTCAACGCTGACTCACTTGATGCCCAATCTGGCGGCTCATTCACACCATTATTGGAAGCTGGAAACCTTAATGTCTGCAAACTACACACCATTACAGGAAGCTTGATGAAAATTACACATTAACGCCTCACTCTAACAATTCGTCGGAAAATTTAGAGAGAGAAAGCTTTAGCGAATACACGCACTCTCAAACATAGGAAAACCTACCCGCCTCTCTGGCTCTGCTTTCAGCATTAGTAATCTGCGTTTCAAAGGAACTTGGAAATGATTGCGATTTATGCAGGATTGCTGCTGTTTAATCGATGAGAATTGCGAAGTTTTTGGACCAGAAATTACCGCTACATCCAGAAATTTCAATACATACTGGTACAAATATACAGTACCAGAAGAAGACCACCATCGAGAGAAATCACCTTTTGCTTTTCTTCTTCCCCAAAAACGCCTCCAGGAAACGGAGATTTTCACCCAATCATCTTCATCGCAGCGCGAATCTCAAGAGAATCAGAGAGCAAAACACCGTAATCATTCCTGTAATTGCTGACAACGTTTAAGATCAACACCGTAATTGCCGACAACGTTTGAGATCAACATCGTAATCATTCATTAATACACCCCTGCTATCTCTTCTGGTAAATTGAACCAGCTGAAAACCAAGTGCACACACATACACCAGAAACAAGTAAAACTCATCTAAAAAAAAAAAGAGAAGTGAAAACTTCCAGGCACGACATGAAATTTCAACTAAACAGATGATATTTCTAAGAATTTTGACAAAAATTTCAACCGAAGATTATAGAGAAATAAGATAATAATGTGCTCTGAGTTCTGACCTAGAATACAATGCGAATAACAGAATGAAAGCTGAGTCAATTTCGAGATCTTGAATTTGATGGAATTGCCGACAACATTTGAGATCAATAGCAGTAACGAGATGCGTCACCGGAATCTCGCCGCTGCCGTCCTCCGCTTCCTCCGAGTCGATGTGTTGCAAATTGTTTTTGTTATTTTTGTTGTTTTAATGCCATGTAAGCAATGCCACCTAATCCTAATTTTGTTATTTTAATGCCATGTAAGCAATGCCACCTAATCCTAACCGGGCCAAGTCATCACAAAATCGGAGGTAACCTGTAAAAAAAGTTAATTGAACAATTTTTAGATGTAAGTGTGTCCAATTACATTATATTTGAGATGATGGGGAGAATTGAGCACTTTGAAGTAGTAAATGAGGCTATTTGACCCTTCTGCCAAATAAATATTATCATACTCCGACAATCAAATAGGTCCTCTAATATTCCAACTTATACAAATCAGCGATTTTGGCTTCTTTTCCTTCTAATTATCTATTTATCTATCTATCTGTATGAGATCGATGATATTGGTCGATCTTGGTCTTTAACATTATATTGTTTGTCTCGATCTAATCTAATATTCTTTCTTGGTGCTCACACTTGAAAATGGCCTGTCTTATGCATTCTGTATGGAAAGATTATGAATTCACTGGCTAAAGAACTTTCTAGTAGCAACTATTCTCGGACTCTGGAGGTAAACAATCGGCTTTCAATTTTTCTTTTCGTTAAAATAATATTCATCAAACGCCAAGGTCCTTTACAAGAAAATAAGTGAATGGTTTGGCATGGGCCGCTCACTAACCTTAAGCAAAGGTCCAATTTCCTTCGGCACGGAGCTCCGTGTTTTAATCCGGGAAAACTTTTTGTGGTCCCGCCTTAAGCGTTGGTTCTCACACACTTCCACCCTTATGCTAAAGATCGACTCCCCGCGGCATAGATCTTTATGTTTTAACCTGAGGAAGTCTTTTGTGATCCCAACATAAGCAATGACTTTTTTTTTTTTTTTTTTTTTTTCTCATCTCGTAAGACATCGCCATTGGGACAACTAACCGACTTCACGTAGAGCTCTACGCTTTTTCGAAGACAGTGCAATGGAATTACCCCAAGCCCTAACGAGATGACTTACCTCTTTTCTTATCTCACGGGATGACCATTTATTTTTGGTGTATGCCTTTTAATTTTCTCATCGTCATTTCCCTGAACAATAAGTGCACAAGTTCACACTATACCCACAATTCACACCTGAACTTTTTCATATATATATATATATATATATATTTATCCTACCTGAAAAAGGTTGAATGACTGAAGTAAACAAGTTAGGAAAATATTATGTGTACTCCCATTCTTTATTCTCAATTAGTATTCTCACACTTAAAATTTTGATGTAGATACATTTATAGGCACCTACATGAAAAATAATCTATCAACGCCCGCTCGCTCGTCATATGGGAGTAAATTTAAAAAAGTAAGATGTGTGAGCATATAGTAGATCTCAACAAATTAAATACGACATCTCATCAATGATGCACCAAGTAGAGTGAGTCAGCATTTGTAATTTGTAATGTGACACATGATGATGATGATGATCTCAACTCTCAGGCCATCCAGGAAAGACACAAACTAGGTTGCAAAACTCATGCAGACTTAGATGCCTCTGTTGTCATGTGGCGGCAGATAATTTCATGTTGTAATTGCAATTAATGAAAAATTCAATCACGAGAAGTCTAACCTCATAATAGTAAACACTTTAAAATTATATATATGAATATTCTCTCGTCATAGCTAATATCATGGAACTATCTGCATGTTTATTATTTCAAAGGCAACTCTGATCTGTGATATCAACTATGACAAGAAAATATTCAGATAATTCTAAAATTTCTATTGTCACGAGATTAGACTTCTTATGATTAAATTTTATTAATTATATATATATATATATATATATATATATATATATATATATATATATATATATAATTACAATCATATAGGAACCCATCTTTAGGTAGGAACTTAGGAACTAATCTAAGTCCTTTATTTTATTCAATCTACGGTTCATATTTTATATTTTTAATGGTTTTTTTACCGCTGATTTGTTTTATTTTGGGTGAGCAGGGTTAGTTTGGGAACTTCATATCGTGTACATGTGTGTAAGAGGAGAAAATCTCGCTGGATCTTCGCAGTCTGATTTTCAAAGTCGTAGATTGGACTCTCTCATCGTCGTCTTCTTCCTCAAGAGTCACGCCCAGATTGCTATTCGCTTCAAGCCATCCCTCGTCTCTGCTTCAGTTCTTCGTGTCAAATGGGCGACGGTGATGGTAAGAACCCCGACCCAAATGTCCCCATCCGCGACAAGGTCGTTCACTGCTTGAGGTGGGTTTTTATTTTTTTTTTCTTTGAAGTTTAGATTCCCTTTGCAATTTGTGTGTACTTTAATCATATATGAGTTGTTTGTTGGTGTTGGGTTGTAGCCGCGAGTTATGGCGTTTTTTTTTTCTCTGGTCGTTTTCCCTTTGGTTTTTTTGTTGCTAGAGTTGTTTTCCATTTTTTATTTGATTTTTTTTATGGTCTAATTTTTATTTAGCATATGCTAAAGATTCATTAATTGGTTTGGGGCCACAAATTTGATAGAATCAGTTGCTGCATTTCAAGATAAGCTTGGCAAGGATCGGAATTATCAATGGCCAACCAACATATCCCTTTTCAATCACCTCCGCGTTTATATCCCTAAGATAATTACTTAATTTCATCTATTTTTTTGATAAGGGATGATCTTCAATGCTGTCCATTGAGTGAAGATTGATTAGTTACCCAATTGCTGATGAATTCTCAAAAACTACTATCAATCATATAGAAAAATGTTCGCCTTGGCTCTGGATTCACTTTATATTTGTTGTAATTGTCATTCTCTTCGTGCACACACTCGTGAACATAGATGCACTCCAGCTTGTTTAGTCAGTTGTACATATATAAATTAAGTCTGTACGGTTTGGCACACACATGTTAACTAATGTGCACACAATAGATATCACATCATCCTAGTTTGCATGTATTCCTGCTGAATAGTATTGTTGCACATTATGGCACACATCATTCTGCCTATGTGCATACGTAGCTGCTTTCCAACTTTCACCCAACGTTTAGTTCCCTAATGTTTGATTCTGTTGTTTTTGGCATTTCCTAATGTT